GAAGACGTGCGTCTGCTGCCAGTCATCTCGTAGATATCTTTTGTGTTCCCGTATGACCAGGCACTCTGCTGTAGTACTGCAGCATGGAGTAGTTGTACGGGTTTGTTGTTAGCTAGACTTTCGACAAGATTTAGTGGCGACAAGCTGGTGGCAAAATCTGTACCGTAAAGTCGCGGATAAAAGCCGGGTTTGCATACAAGCACATCACGGATAGAAGCCTGAAAATCAAACGGGTCAAATGCATACCGGTATAAGCCTGTCGCGCGTAGAAGCCTGGCTTCTATGCAAGCGCGAATTGGGTGCATGCGCTATGTACGGTGCATAGTAAAACTGCCGTCATACCGGTAGTCAGTGGTAGATCTACGCGTGTCGCGCGTAGAAGCCTGGCTTCTATGTACATACAAGCCTGGCAAAAATATCAGTGGTGCATATAAGCATGGTTTGCATACAAGCCTGGCTTGCATTAAAGCCTGATGCAGAAAGCGGCTTATGTGCTTATAAGCCCGGCTTTTATCCGCGACTTAACGGTATATAGATGTAGTGTGTACGGTCACACGACTATCGAATATCCAGATGTATTCATTGATCACTGCATGTGTGCTTTCCTATTGCCATAGTGCAGCACAATACCATAAGGAGAATACCGGAATCCGTTTGAGCGGATGTGATCGATCAGATTTGGAGTTCTATCTTTTAGAATAGAACTCCGAATCTGAATAATCACATCCCCTCGAACTGATGAAATGTATTTATTCAAAAGCACCTGGCTTGGCAAAACCTCTTCTCTAACATCTGGGATGAGCGAGTCATTTCATTGTCGGCCGTTGCTTCCACACGCCGGTCTGAAGTCTGTAAGCCATGCTTACCCCTGCCAACTGTTAGATCAGCTGTGTGAAAGAATAATAATTAGTGTACAGTCGACTCCTGATATAGCGAACACCATTGTGCAGGAGAATTAGTTCTTTATAACCGAAAAATGCACTCACACCATACAAGCAACACTAGTCACGACTGGCATGTGGCCCATGACAGTATGACTGCACTTGGTTTACATGCGGCCCTACAAGACATGGTTCGTTATAAACGAAAACTGTTTGCTATAAAGGGTCAATTTTGTATGGGGTTCAAACAGGGACTTGGACACTGGTCCGCTATATCACGAGATTCGCTATATGGGTTCGTTATACTTGGAGTTGACTGTATCTCTTCAGCAGCTATTGAATCTCTCTTTGGACAAATTCCACAGTGATATTTGCGAAGACCTAGGTCAATACAGTGAGAAGCACGTGATTTTGTCTATTATTATATCAACCATGTGTGTGCTTTCCCCTCTGCCCATGTCAGGGATGGCGATGGCAAGCATAGCATGATTGCGCGTACAACTGCAAAGGAGGTGAGTGTGCATGTGTGTATTTGCTTCCTGCTTGTTTATAGCCATCAGGAAGCGCAGGTGTTTCGCTGCTTGTGCTTTGTTTTTGTCATGTACATGTGCTTCGTTTCCCATCAAACGAGCAAAGTGCTTGGATCATTTTCACAGTTGCCATGGAGAAGTGTCCACATAGGATATTTAGCTGACACAAGATGTTCTTCTTCGTGTATTGAAACACTTGGATGTGTGGTGGTGAGGGGGGCTTTTGTCTGTGGAAAGACGCCAAATCTCTCACAAGTTCTCCACTAACAATACAATCATGTAGGTGATGTATTGTTCGTGCCCAAAGTCACGTGGTTCAGTCTAAGATGTTGCACTTCGGCACTTATGCAGTACTACAGTCACCCTTTTCTTTAAAGGTTTATTTATTTATTTTTCTGCTCGGGTGAAGCTTGTAAGCTGTAGCCTTGCTTGACTTGCTTACTGCTTTTTGGTTTGTGTTGTCTGATTGATTCACTGGGTTGCCAGGAGTTCCTGCTGAAAGACGTGGACCTGGACGATCGGCCCACGCCGCTGCCGTTCTTGCTGCGCCGTAACCCGCACGCACGCTTCGGCGAGATGAAGCTCTACTTGAAATGTCAGGTAGGGCACTTGGCTTTTTAAATGTGTTTTTTTTCTGAGATAAGAAACCCGATGTTTTTTTGTGCACTGCAGTGTTTTCGTGATACAGTCCACCATACCAGACAACATTCCATGCGTTTAGGTCCTGGTCAGCATTCGTGTGTTGCGTATTCGCATTTGAAACCATTGCCTCACTCCGAGACGTGGCTGGACAGGTCCTGCAGCTTCATTACTGCTGTCACTGTCAGACTTCAGTGTAACATACATGTGCACTCGTACCTCCCGAAGCACATCTTGTGTAGTACGATGCAGGGTCCTCGAATACGTCAAACTTTATAACCCATAGGGTAACGTCAAGAGTAGATAAACAAGAGTGTGCAACTCCGGATCTCTCCTGCACAATCTGCAGATACCCCCGCCCGCGGCGGAATTTTTTGTTGACGTCACCTTTTTTTCAGAGAAACGCAGACTTTGCCGCAGAGCAGTGTGAAAGCACGTGCTGGGCATCGACCTTGTAGTGTAAAGCCCGGCCAAGTGCACGAGGGAAACCTCTCCAAAAGGCTCGCAGTGCGTGCGTCGTCGAAAAGATTACGTCAACAAAAAATTCCGCCGTGGGCCAACCCATCCGCGAGTTGCACACTCTTGTTTATCTACTCTTGGTAACGTTAAAAGCAGAAATTTTCGGTGGTGTTTTATTTTCGGTACCTTTGGTGCCGACAATTTTTACCTAAAATAAAACCCGCCAAAAATTTCGGTTCTATTACACTTACCTGGAAAACGGGTTTACCGAAAATTTCCGTCCACCGAACCGTCGATTTTGGAGAATACCGAAAATATTACACCTCCGAAAATTTCTGCTTTTACAGCACCTACTTGATTGTTTATGCTGACGTTTCACTGTACCATTGCACCCCCCCCCCAACACACACAATGAATGTGCTAGGTGCCAAGGACTTTGAGACAAATTTATCGGCATTATAGTGCGCGGAGCCTAATGGTAACGTGGCATCTCAATGCGACTCAGTAAACCGACGTGATTCACACTTGAGCATGCCCTTTTCCTGCCTCTGAAACTTGAAAACTGAAGACAAGAATTAAATTAAAAATCAACGGAAATTTGTTGGTTTAAACTACTGTAGAGTCACATGTAGAAGCAAACTGAATTGAGGATCACACTTCTGTTTAATCCTGATTAGACTGAACAAGTTGAAAAGAAATCCCCCCCCCCCCCCCCCCCTGCAAACACCATAATTAAAAAAAAAAATAGTAAATATAGCTGCTGGTGCGCCATTCACTCTTTTCGTTATCACTGAAGTAACTTATTAGTTTGCTTTACAAAACAAGTTCCACTTTTGATATTTCACCATTTTCTTTCTCCTTTCCCACGGCTATATGTTGTTCCATAGGTTGAGGAGCGGGCTATCTCTATTTGGGATAGTTTGGAAGCCATAGAAGAGGAGAAGAAGAAGAAACAAGACACTCGTGTTGAACGCAAACAGAAGAAATTGAACAAGGATCTAAAAGGTTGGTGCTGCCCTTCTGTTGCCATCTTTTTAAGAGTGTACTCGTATGCATGTGGTGAGGAGGTTTTGGGTATCTATCATGCACTTCAACAGAAAGCATCATTGCCCCGTTCCTTTTCCCCGACATTTCCCAGTGCAATTCTTGCAAACTTCTGCATTTTAACTGCTCCATTGTATAGAGGATATGTCAATGACATCATGATAGTTATGATGATGTCATCCTTATGACCCCCATCCTTGACCTTGTACTGGGTGGCAAAATCAGTGCTGGTGATGCTGTTCCCTACAAAGTACTCCAGCCGGAGTCCAGGTGATAATACACGTATAATGGCGCGATGTGTATGAGAAACCATCCAGGGTGAAGATAGGAAGGAAGGCAATTTGTTTACTCATCAGGTGCTGTGTACTGGGGCCCAACTGTATCAAATGTCCCAAACCTGGAGTGTCCTGATTGGAGCCTTGCCACGTGGCATGTGTAGCAGACTCGAGCTGCACTTACTGGTTCAAGTGGAGCCACTCAACTCCCTACAAGGTACACAGGGAGTGATAGGCACTAACTGTTATTACCTGTGTGTACGTACGTACGTGTAGTTGTGGTAGATGACTGCAAAGAGGGCAGTCACTGGGACGCACCTGGGCACAATCACCTGAACTGATGTTCCTTTTCTATGTAAACTCATTAGTTTGGTCACATCACAATGTTAATGGCCAGCCGGAGAAGACCGGTGATGTTGTCCACAGCACTACTCTAAGTCCTAAATTTGGACTGTCCCGCTGGCTCCCCGGCTTGGGAAGTTGTTTCACTGTGACCGGGCCAGCTGTGTGATCTTATCTGCATTTTGGAGTACGGGTTGCAGTATCCGTTCTATAATCAGGTTTCTTGTTTCATGGGGGGTTGAATTGCCCAGGAGGGGCGGTTTTCTGCTGGAGTGCTGGCAGAAAGTCATTGATATGATTCACCTATTGAAGCCCCACACCAATGCCCTGGGCAACACAGGCGCCATCTGGTCTTTTGTTGGGACCTTCTCTCTGAACAGCATTTTATATGAATAGGCAAGGGAGTTTGAATGAGTAGTGTAGCTCTGAACTCATTTGTTTCTTATTGTTAATTAAACGATGGGTAATGGAAGGATGTCGTGGTCGTGTATTGTTTCTGGCGTACCTCATTGTACTTACTCATACTGCATTTGCTGTGGTGTAGTGCAATGCACTTTGGATGTATTCATTCAATCTGACCTGGGGGGGGGGGGGGGGGGGGGCAGGAGAGGAAGTTCTGTTGCAACTCAGAGTTTCATGTTTATTACGATCGTCAGGCACGCTAGGCAAGCATTCCTAGTTTAGTACATGTAGTTTCATTAGCGACGCAAATTGACCAAAAAATGGATTACGCCGGGTTTTCCAGCTCTTCATTTTTTATATGATCTGCTTGTGTGTGTGTGTGTGTGTGTGTGTGTGTGTGTGTGTGTGTGTGTGTGTGTGTGTGTGTGTGTGTGTGTGCAGCATTGCATAAGACGGTGTTATCCAAGACAAGAGACCGTGCACCTCACCAGCATGTCTACCCGGCCAGCTCAGAGGTGTACAACGAGGAGGACGACACGTACACGAAAACCTGCGCCACCTGCGGCTACTCGGTGACCTTCGAGAAGATGTGACCTGACGCTAGGCTAGGTGACTCGCTGAACCACGCGAACAGGATGACTTAGTGTGTTCAGTGCCAGTCGCGACCCGTCAGACCTGCTAGCCCCTAAGTCTTCCGATAATCCCGGAGTGGCACTCAGATCGGTTGCGGTTTTACTCGCTGAACCACGCGGACAGGATGACTTAGTGTGCTCAGTGCCAGTCGCGACCCGTCAGACCTGCTAGCCCCTGAGTCTTCCGATAATCCCGGAGTGGCACTCAGATCGGTTGCCATTCCGTTGGCTCCTTTTCCATCTCCAACAGCACTGGATTGTTACACTGGATGTGCACAGGCAGGGAGGCAAGCGGTGGTTCCATGGTCGGGCATGCAGAGTGACCAGTGCCGCCTTCAAACTGCCCACTGGCAAGAGAGGAGTACATCTTTCTCCGAGTGAGAAGTGTACTTCACATTGTCCCGTGTCAGTACGGAGCATGTGAAGAAGTCTGAACGCGCGATACACGGCCATACATCGTGCCCAGTAAGGCGGACTCGCTACGCTAGCTACGCAATAACGAAGATGGATGTTTAATACACCCTAGTGTGCATCATAGGCAGCTTCACAAGCAAATACTGGAGCCACCGTCAATGTACTTCCATTTGACTTCAACCACAATCAACATCAGTTTTGGTCTGGCAGTGGGTTTCGAAATGGTGCGGCAGTGCGTCGCATGCGTATACTATTACAGAGCCATGAGCAGCCTGACAATGAACGTGAATAGTGGCTTGCGCTATTGTGTGGCTGGAGAGAATTGTGTTTCTCTAGTAAGTTATGTGGCTCTCTCTCTCTCTCTCTCTCTCTCTCTCTCTCTCTCTCTCTCTCTCTCTCTCTCTCTCTCTCTCTCTCTCTCTCTCTCTCTCTCTCTCTCTCTCTCTCTGTCTCTCTCTGTCTCTCTCTGTCTCTGTCTCTCTCTCTCTCTCTCTCTCTCTCTCTCTCTCTCTCTCTCTCTCTCTCTCTCTCTGTCTCTCTCTCTCTCTGTCTCTCTCTCTCTCTCTCTCTCTCTCTCTCTCTCTCTCTCTCTCTCTCTCTCTCTCTCTCTCTCTCTCTGTCTCTCTCTCTCTCAGCTTCTGGCAAGCTCCGTTTCTACTCAGACCTTGCTTATAGCTACAGCTGTCCGCTTCATGTGTGCCGGGTCGAGAGTAGGCAGCGCTATCTCTTAACGAATGCAACAGACCGGTGCTAGCTGCTGAGCTAGCCACATGCATTACAACATGTCCCAGCATGGCTGACGTTTATTTTTTTTATTTTTTGATGAGCACACATCTTGTATGGAATGGTTCTATTTGAGTAGATTTACGTTGCACACATTTTGTAACCTACGAATAAACATGATGCCACGGCGGGCCATGGCATGGATATCTTGAGTTTCTCGGCACTGATATCATTTGCAGCCGTAAATGTAAAGTTATTTTTGTAGAATGTGTTTTGGCCCTTCTTTTTCTTCTCTGCTGTGTGCCCTAGAGGACACAGTGCCGAGAGCGACACCATTGTATTGAAGGATGACATCGCTGTATTGAATGCCACTGGTATCATGCTTGCAACGGCAACGGTAAATCCAGTGATGTTGAACTGTTCTGAAAGTGCTTATTATTACCGAATCGTGTGTGATGTAGCGTGGGATTGCTAGAGCTGCAGTGCGGGTATTGTGCTCAGGCTGTTTTTCTTTAAAGTTTTAGCCATTTCTCAAATTCCACTGGCTGACTTCGGACTACAAGTTTAAAAATAGTTGCCTCAAACACTCAAACAGTCGATAGTACTGCAGCGGGCACACACACACCAGAAGTTCAATGCACTGCTACAGGTTCGCATTTGTGCTAGGCGATCCATGTAAGTTATACACTGCCCCCCCCCCCCCCGAAGAAGTCAGCGGTCCTGCTGTGAAAATTGACATTCGGCAGTTTGTGGTCCAGTCATACTTCAACGATTTCAAAGTGCATAAGGAAATTCACATCACCGACAAGGCTACTGAATAAATACCGTAAAGTCTTGTATAAAAGCCGCGGCTTCTATGACTTTCTTGGTGAAATTTTGCAGGCTTCTATACAAGACAGGTATTTCTATGTATGTCAACACTAAAACCAGGCTTATGTGTGATTTGATGGGCCCAAAATTGCGGCTTCTATTCGAGGGCGGCTTCTATTCAATTGCGGCTTTTATACAAGACTTTACGGTAGTGGTAGCGACCTCGGCGATAATTTTATGAGGAAGTGATTTGCGCCCACCCAGGAGCTTGCGCTTTCCCCAGTCATGAGTCAGTCAAGTGTTAAAGTCAGGTCGGCGGGAAAAGCGTGAGCTCCAGGATGGCGTGGAAGCAAACAACTTCCGTTAGGCAGTATGTCTACTGACTATCGGTTAAATCTGACTGAGTTGTCTTTTAAGCTGTACATACATGTACAGAGACGGCTGGCTATTAGTGCGCCATTGCAATTCACCATGCGTCCACAGCTCTTTTCCTTGGCCTGTTCTTGCTCGAAGAACATTAGTGTCTATGTCACCTACATTCCATGGTGCTAGCACAGCAGGGGGCTGCTGTTTTGACAGCTGCTTGCCAAACTATACTATGCCACGCCCTGTAATGTCAGTATTTTTTGCAACTTCAAACTTAGATGTGTGTGTGTGTGTGTGTGTGTGTTACCGTTAGCTGCCTATGGCGCCACGGGCACATACTCCAGTAGCTAGCGGGTCAGGGAGGGGCATGATGGAACAGCGTGGGCGACATGCACACCCACGTGACGTCCTTATCTCAGATCCACTCTGTTGCACTTACATGTACATGACACAGTGCTGGCCGTAGAAATCCAACCTCATGAATAAAGTAGCGCCGCGTTCGAGTGCACAGAGCAGTGTGTGTAGTACTAGGGCTGCGTAGCGCCCGGTACTATTTTATTCATGAGGTCGGATTTCTTTGGCCTGTGCTGTACAATCATAGTCATTGCTCAGCTAGTGCAAGGAAGACAAACAGCAGATCATGGTGGTGGTGCTGACCGTACACTAGTACTTGCAGTGTGGTGGAACAAGCATGGTGGAACCACATAGCTCAGCCCCAAATCATAATTCATGTATGGTAGGTCCAGTGCACGACCGGATCTTGTTGGCATTGAGAAAGTACAGTAGTGATGGTGTTGAATAGAGACATAAGTTATTAACTGCACCTCCTGTCAAGCAGCCGTACATAGCCATGGGGGCATGCCATTCGCTGACTTGTCATCCGAGGGGCTGTTGGTCAATTTGGAGATGTTGCGCCCGAACTCCTCCCTGCGTAGGCTGGCTTGCTGCATGCAAGTGGGACAGCTGCCAAGTTGGACAGCTGTGGCATCACTTTCTTCCCTGGGTGCAACCTACCCCATGACATGCCTGTTGATCTATTTCTGTGCCGAAGGATATTTTATAGTGCACTATACTGGCTGTCGCGCATGGGGAGTAGAGACTCTACTAAAATTTGAGTAGTCTCTCCCCATATGGGCATTCACCAGCAGCAATGGATGCTACTCCCATGCACCAGAATGTGTAGTGTTGTGTGGATGGTTATGCATCAGGGAGTCTAACGTCGTAACGGGTTTGTAGGACTCCCAGGCCCTGTTCTGCATGCACATCTGCATGTATATGCAGGCCAGGGCATGTGCATCCACATACTTTGAAGTATGCACAGAGCTACGGTAGAGATGTTGGCATCTGGGGGAAAGTCCACATCCCCAGGGTACGGAATGATTCCCATCAGCCAGCACTGATGCAGGGAGTAGTAGTATGTAGTGTACTACTACCTGCATGCTAGAAGAAAGCCGTTTGCTCGTGGGTCTTTGTGACATTTTATCAGCGATAGTTCATTTTCATCCATGTGGGAGTTACCATGATGAAGTACTTCAAGTAATCACTTGCAGTTCAGTTTTTGAGTCCTTCCTTGAAGCTTGGGTAATGTGAATAATATTGATCATGGCCTGGACCCCGTGGGGTCTTGTACTGATGTGGCTTGTTCACTGCCACAGTCTAGCAGCAGACAGGTCGAGTTCAAACACTACAAGTCGTGTAATACTAATCAGTATAGTGTTTGAACTCGCCACGATAACCGTGAATTATTATTATCAGGGTTTTCATGCCATTGTCATGTGCAGATATGACTATGTGGGTGCTGCCTGTTTGGCCATGAAGTCCAGATTGTTTACATGTATGGCAGGGTGCTACTGAGGGAGAGAGTGAGCGTGAGAGAGAGAGAGAGAGAGAGAGAGAGAGAGAGAGAGAGAGAGAGAGAGAGAGAGAGAGAGAGAGAGCGAGAGAGAGAGAGAGAGAGAGAGAGAGAGAGAGAGAGAGAGAGAGAGAGAGAGAGAGAGAGAGAGAGAGTGTGTGTGTGTGTGTGTGGAGAGAGAGAGAGGGAGGGGAGGGGGGGGGGGGGGGGGGGGAGGGAAGAGAGAAAGAAAGAAAGAGGAAGAGACACACACAGAGCCAGAGACTCGAAGGGAGAGTTTGCACGTGTGCATGTTGTAATGTATGAAATCTTGCTGCGCAGGTATCGCCCTGATCACTGCGGCCTGTGCCGCTACATGTTCCTATTCACCCACATACACTGTACAAGCGGCATGCCCTAATATGCGGAAAATAGGCTTTTTTCCATTTCACCAGGAAACAAATGTCCCGGATACAAGGGGATGTCTTTCCAAATATGAGTACTTGAGTCTTCAAGATACACTCTTGGCTCTTGAGTAATCATCCATTGCCTAAAAGAATGGTCAGAACATTAGCTTTGAGAGTACATGTACCGTATTATCTCTAATATAAGCACGGTCCTTTATTTTTTCAATGTACCTCCGCCCCGTGCTATTAATGGAGACGGTCCTTTATTGGAGACTGTTCCATTATTATTTCAACCTCATTTCAGAGGCATGTTGCCATGCCAAATTCATGTCAGACACACACACATTTCATGGTTTTTTCGCCGGTACAGATAATGAATTTACACAGTGTGCTTATAATGGAGACTGAGCACTTTGTTTTTTGAATGCCGCCCCAAGGTGTTCTATGATTGGAGACTGTGCTTATATTAGAAATACTACGGTATTAGTGTACGGTACTAGTGTTGGCAAAGTGTTTCAGGATCTGTGGAAAAAATCAATGGGCCCAGAATATACAAATGGATTGGAGTAGCCAGTAGTAGATCTATGCCATGATAAACGTAGTTTACTACTCCCTGGTAGTAGCTAGCTACTGCTGTTCTTTAACCTTCCTTGAGGTCTGACTAAGGGTGCGTTCGAATTGTCACTCTTTGACTTTTCGAGGTTCGTTTTTCTGAAGAGGTGGCCTTATTGGCCTCTTCAGAAAAAACGAAGCTCCTCGAAACTCCACAACCTCATCCGATGCCGGGAGAGGTGGATCAGTTCCGAAGAGTTTGGAATAGCTACGTCACGTAGTACGTGGAGATGGTCGATCTGATCGGGCGTCATCATCGCCATGACAATTCCACTGAAAAACTCAATGATAAAAACCGTTCTAATTGGACACTTCAACTAATCTCTTTTAAAAATTTGTTCGAACAGTTGATAAAGACGATTCGAACGCCCCCTAAGTATCAAGAGGATTTACATGTACGCAGGACCGTGACATCCAAGAACGAGCGAGGAACACATGACTGACAGTACAAAAACAAACAAAAAACCCGAAGAAGACTCAAACAACTCCCTAGTGTAACGAGGGTCAGAACCAGGGCTAACACCCATACGGTTCAAATGGTCGCAAGACTGGGGTTCTGCCAACTGTGGAGGTTGTAGTTAGGGGCACTGTTTCTGAACACCGTGCGTCCTCTGCCTTGTGGTAACATGCTCTCGACCAAACAACGTTTTCTCAACAAAACAAGGCTTATCTAATACTAAGTAATTTTGTGTGGAGAATCAGATGATTGATAAGATCAAACTGCATGACTTGTACAAAAACACTATGTGGTATACTGTACTCACGTGATCACTGCTCTTAGTCCTGGCCTGGGATTTTTTTTCAATGTCCATCAGGCATCACAGATATGGGGCAGCCGCACTGTTCAAGAGAGGGCACTCTAACCGCGCGAGTACGAGTGTAATGGCAGATCTGACAGTTATACTTAAAAAGTAGTTATAGTGTGTAAGTCGACATGACAACTAACACTTAGGTTTACTTCTGTCTATCTCTAGCTCTGTGCTCTTCGTGACCACAGTACACATGGTACAGGCACAGCGAGTGCCGGCCATGGCCCTTCATTCGGCTTCAACGATTGCTCCTCGGCCCAGATCTTGGTTCGTTCATCATTCAACATCACCCACTCTTACTCTTAGCACTGTCTGTTACAACTCCTTACATCGTGGCCTGACTACAACTACAATGACTTACGTACTTACTTGTTGTTACTCCATACCACGGAGTCGTATACCCTATGTATGACTCCCTGCTCACAGGACTTACTTGTACTGAGTCACCTGGTCACTGTGCAAACAATGGACCCCACAACGGCGGCGGCTTACCGGTCAATCTGTTGGAGTGAATGGACTTCAGTTTTGGCTCTTGGTGGCTGCCCACCATCAATGTTTTTGTGAACGCTAGAACAGTATAGTCTAGTAGAAGGTCAGCGCTACATTTGTAGAATCATGCGAAGGCAAGGAGCTAGCTCAGTGTAGTCATTATTTTGCTACATCTTCCCTCGATCATGACTGTTTACTTCTACTTTCCTTGGCTGTCGGCTTGACCATTGACGGATGTACCAAGGCAACACTCCTGAAATTCTCATAAAGTTGTCAGTGTCAACATGGTCAACAGATGAGTGCGTGGATATACACGCGGTGAATCATGATGAGTTCTTGGCGCTAGATCAGGAAGGACATCTGAGTTTCACGGTCGATCTACCGGTAACACAGTCATTTCACTTGCCAGCCATGCGCGAGTCGAGTGTACCACGTCGTTCCGCTGTAGCCGCATGGCATGCAAACAGTTGAGTTGATGTTCCTCTTTTTTCCCCTCCTCCATGAGCTCTTCTTCCGACTACTGGTATCGCTGCTACCCAGTCCCTCGTCAGCCATTACACACAACAGCAACACGTTTACTTCTAAGTTTTAGTCAATTATTAATTTTTTAGACTATGACTGCGAAGTGTGTAGTTGGAGTCGAGTATTGAGCCACAGTTAGCACGAGTGTGCACTCCCGCGATCCCGTCGACGCGTCGTTCGTGGCTGATTCAGTGAAGTCAAGACTGTGAAGCTTGGATTTGGAAGATTGAAGTGAAGTGTAGATGGATTGAAGTGAAGTGTAGATGGATTGAAGTGAAGTGTAGATGGACACAGGGCCGCTAGGCTAGGGTTAGGGCAGTAGTGCTAGGGGACCAGATGACAGGCACCGTGGGATGTCTATCAATCGGCATCCGACTGTCGTCGATCTACCCGTACCGTAGTACAGTGTCGACGCACGCATTAGCACGGTATCCACTTGATTCCGCTGTTTTGACCAAAGTATTTTTTTGGGTGCGCGGATCCAGACACCACCACGGCACCAGTGCACATACATGACATACCGTGTAGAGCGGTATGCGGTCGCCGTCACGTTGAGTCTACATGATGTACCGGGCGGTAGTACTGATTTTACACGCAACACGGCCAGGCACCTACAAAAAGGCTACATACATAGGATACAGCCAAGTCAGGACTCAGGACGAGTGCTGGTACATGCCGTGGTCAGTGCTGGGTAGTGCATTTCCAACGGTACGGCTGAGATCGGGGATCCAGTTTTGGATTTTTGAGTCGGTGACATGAAGTGATAGAAATCGTTCGTAGTTCTCCCGTGGCTGTACTTGTGCCACGTCTAGCTGGCCGCTCGCCGTGTGTGGAAAGGAGGAAAACGATAAAAGTTTTTGTTGTTCTGTGTTTGCTTCGTTCCCTGGAATCGTCTCTCAAACGGTGGTGCTTGTACGGTACTAGTATTCGTGGTCGTAGCTAGCTGTTGCTTCTTCTCTGCCTCCCTACTCACTCGAGGCGCGAGTGTCGTGCTCGCGGCGTAGTGAGCCCTGCGCCGCTATGTCGATCCCTCTGCGCGTGGAGTTTCCTGCTATCCCGACCGTCCAGAGCAGGACGCTTCGGGTAAGAACTACTCTGCCGCCCGGCGTTTCGTTTGCAGCCTGTTCGGTGTGCATGGCCTATGCATGTAGTGCGGAAGGAAAGCAGATGGCCGGCTCTGGACACCGGGCCGTGTCTCCGGCCTGTCGCTTTTCAAAAATTCTTTCGTGCATTTGGAAATTGTTTCCACCGCGGTCTATTTACGCCCGTGTTGTTTATCTTCACGTTGTCCTTTCCAGTTCAATTTGGAAGGCACCGTCGGCGATGCCTGTCGACTTATCCGTGATAATAATCCGGAGGTTGAAGCCCTTCGATCATGTGAGTAACCCATACAGAATACTCGGGTAAAGGCAACCAGTGAGCAGTGACGGTTGTTTGAACGTGGGAAACACATCATTGCTTTCGTGACTACGACTCGTGAGCACCTTTGGGATTTACTCATTTTGACGGAATGTTTTATAGTCCCAGTGTGGTACTAAAAGCTCGTCGGATTCTTCTCGCTCTGTCCGGACTCTAGTCTACAAGCACAGCTAGCAGTTTGCAGCCTGTACTACTAAGTAGGCTGTAGTCTGTAGTCTCGCTTCACCAGGTATCAATGACAGTGGATGCAGAGCTCAACTGACTGTGTTGGTCTCACACAAGTCATAGTCGTCCTGGTTTGAATGATCCTTGCCTCTCGCTCGCGCTTATCGCTTATCGCCCGAACCTCGATTCAGCACCAGGCCAGGGGCATTTTAGAAGTTTTTCATCCTGCGGATCCTCTGGATTTCGCATGTGTAGCTAGTGCAGCATTGTATCGTATGCTGTACCGTGTCCGGGGTTGGACCGCTGGATCACGGAGGTCCTTGTGTTGTCCATGAGGCATGAGCGACTTCGTTAGATTACTGTCGCACGTAACGTCGTTTGCACCTCCTTTGATCCACGATCTCGCCTGTCGGTTCTACGATGCACAGCTGCACTGCAGAACTAAACCATTCGTTGGTTGTGACGTTATTTTGTGGCTTTGCGACGAAGAGCAGGTCATAATACGCGTAGATGATCTACACGAGAACAGAGAGCAGAGCCACAACGAATTGCACAATATTGCAAAGTGCAATCATCAATTCACCCAGGAATCTTTGCCAATGATAGCCAATATTTGTGCAATGTTCGTTTTTTTACTCGAAAGGTGCACAGTATATTCGGCATCCACGACCCAAAGTAGATAGCAGGGTACAGGTGAAAGGTCGCACTGTGAACTTTGAACCTTGGGAGATTATTGGTTGCTACACCATGTCCAGCACTAGATGGCAATGGGTGCAAAACACATGTAGCAAAGTGTCTACTCGATTGTTGCACACTGTGCAGCCTTGCCACATACAAACACATGCTCACACACACACACGCACGCACGCACGCACACACACACACACACACACACACACACACACACAGAAATACACACATATGCACACACGTGCACACAAGCTACCCTTGAGATTCCGTGGTATTCATCTGTATTCGACTTTGGAAATGAATAGAATAAAATGAAATGAACATACATACACACACACACACACACACACACACACACACACACACACACACACACACACACACACACACACACACACACACACACACACACACACAAGCGTGAGCACGGACATGTTGAAAAAAAGCGTCCATTTCATGCATCCATCTAGGAAGTAAGCATTGGAGCAGGGTGTGCCCTTTGCTCCAATGCGTCACAGAAACCATCGCCATATGAGCGCTATTTCTGTTGTATAATACCATCAGGCACTGAAAGAATAGAAAATACTGCAAAAGAACGTCCAGACTAAAATAAAATAAAATTGTAGAAGTTAAATGGGCCTGATCGGAAAGTAAAGTTTGGGAACACTGGTGCATTTTCTGCACAATGCATGCTACGTACAGAACCTCCAAGCACAGAATAGCACCAGGGAGCCTGGAATATCGAACACAAGGACTTCACTAGCTTGAAGGTGTGACCTACAGAAACACCACTCGCATTCCCCAGTGCACCGTATCAAAAAGCACAATGTGGTGATGTCATCCAAACTGTGGTGATGTCATCACAAAATTTATATCCATCTTTAAATAGCTTCGCCAAACTTGGAAAGGATTTCTCCGAGGATAGCAGAAAACTGCAAAAGAAATATTGATGCAAAGAAAAGTACACCAGGGACTCATGGGGATGCGAGAGCAAAAACTCCAAACCCCGGCATAAATAATGTTTGCAACATGATGTTAGCGTATTCCTATTGTGCATCTGGCATTCATTACTAGAAACATAAGGAAACGATGAGGAGCATGCACATTGACCTGAGTGTGCAACTTGACATAATTATGGGTTTGAGTCGTGATAGCCGAATTTGTCATTGGCAACACGTTGGATGAGTGACGCTGGGAAAGCGCGATCCATGAATGCAGCTTCCAGTTCATCACTGGGGGTAGACTGATGTCCCAGGTGGCAGTATACGTGCAACCGGAGAAGGATTCTGCCACTGAAGCTTGCTGCCACTTGGAAATTGGGTTGTGTTTATTTTTGTGCTTGTTTACTATTTTTTAATAGCGAATTATTATGGCATCCACATCACGGATGTACCGGGGTACGTACATCCGTAGTAGGGCTTGCCACTGTAGCTTGCTGCTACTTGGAATATGAGTTGTGTTTATTTATGTGCTTGTTTACTACTAGCGAACGACTATGGCATCCACATCACGGACGTGCCGGGGTCCCAGAGGGGCGTCTGGCTGGACGACGAGCGGATACTGAGCTATTACAAGATGATTCGACCCATGTCGACGATCGAGTACCGCAAGAAGACGCGACCGTTGCGGGTCAAGATGAAGGACAGCTCTGTGAAGATGATCATGGCCAACGATGCAGCCCCGGTGAACACTATCATACAGCAGATCTGCGAGCGTGTGGGCATCAGCAACTGGGAGTCGTACTCGCTCGTGATGGAGGACAACGACGAGGACAAGTTCCGCACCATGTCGCGGCGAGAGAGCATGTCGTTTCGCAACTCCAAGAAGATGGAGAAGCTGCGCAGCATCTTGCACACGGAGGACGGCGTCAACTGGATCAACCATGACAAGTCGCTCAGCGAACAAGGCGTATCAGAAGATATGATATTGACACTTCGTGTCAAGTTCTGGGGAGATTCCAACATTGACCGAAATGATCCAGTCCATCTGAATCTCATTTTCGCCGAGGTAAGGAAACGTCTTTGTGGTCCACTCTCACAATAACAACAACGAAAACGCACACAGCAGTCTCTGCTGTGAGCGCGGTGGCTCGGCAATGGCGATGTCACGTCTCTGCTGTATGAAACTCACTGTGCTTGTTCAGGTTGTTTGTGCCTGTATTCCACCTGATGAGAAAGTATCGAAAGCATTTCAGGAAGATTTCGAAAAATGTTGCTTGTGATGAACTTAAAGCTTGATCTTTTCTTGAGTGTAGCTACAGTATCTCCGGTCTACATAGGTACACACCAATGTCTGTGAAGAAAACGTTCTTCTGTATATGCTTTCCTTGGTCTTCCAGGCTCGTGACTCCATCATCCATGGCACCCATCCTGTGACAGAAGAAGAAGCTGTGTCGGTGAGTTCAGGACATGTCCGCACTAAGTTATTACACATACACAGCCATTTTCTTGTCTTCAAACAGTGCAGATGAGTGTCTTGTTAGGCTAGAGGGCTGTGGTTCTTGGTGGATGCTAGTATGTGTTGTGCCTGTGCTGGATTTCGGTATGATTACATTCTTGCTTTCTTATCAGATTCTGGTACTGGTGGTGTGTTTTTCCTCAGCCAGTGTCAAGTTTTTGCGTTGGTTTCATATGCTTTGTGTGTTTGTGTTTGCATATGTGTGTGTGTGTGTGTGTGTGTGTGTGTGTGTGTGTGTGTGTGTGTGTGTGTGCGTGTGCGTGTGTGTGTGTGTGCATTGCATGCCTTTACATTTGCCCATGTGCTCTGTGTAATCTGTGTGTGTATTTTCCACGTGCTTCCAGTTTGCTGCTATCCATGCCCAAGAGCAGTTCGGCAACTACGACGCCACCAAAGTGAAAAGCTTTCATTCCTAGTAAGTGAGCTGTCACCACTTTGTTGCCTGTGCTGGCCGCGGGCATAGCCGCAAGGCTGGAGGATATCCATGGTGTATACTTTACTCAACAAGTATTGGCACTAATGTGCCATTTTATTGCCTGGTACAGTGGACTCCTACAGATGCTTACCTAGGCCTCGTAGCGAATGAATCAAAGTAGAGTGGGGGATCCCCTCTGGGTTCACTTGTCACATGTGCTTCTGTAAAGTTATGATCTTGTGTTACATGCCCTGCAGATTGGGGGTTATCTGGCATCGTGCATGCAGTTGTGAAATCGCTGAATCCGTGTGCCATAGCATTCCTTCATCTGCCTGAAAACCTAAAAAAACGTCCACTGTGGGGCTGCAAAGCAGGCTTGGGCCAGGTTTTCATAGTGGCGCATCAGCTTTTTTGGTTGGCAGCGTTGGATGGAGTGCACGGCTTGGAAACAAGTGCTGTTTTGTTTGTATTGAGTGTCAACCAGTTCAGAGTATCATGGTATTGGCTTGTTTATTTCTTCCTTTTGCCCGTCCAGTATCAAAGACCTTCTGCCGTCAGATTACCGCAAGGTGCGTGGCATCGAGCAGCACGTCATCGATGAGTACTCCAAGCTGACTGGACTCTCCGAGCACAACGCGCGGTTCCGCTATGTGGACCTGTTCCGCTCACTGAAGACGTTTGGCGTGAGCTTCTTCCTGGTGAAGGTAGGTTTTAAAAGCTCCTTATTTGCTGTGGATTGTTCATACACCCTTCATATTTATACAAGCCTGACTGCACTCTAAAGGAAGAATGTTGTAAACTGACACATGGGGGCAGCATTCACTAATTCGAAGAGGCCACCCGGTCTGCGGACGGCCTGGTCGGCTGCCCGTAGATCAACGTGCCACTTGGCCGACTTGTTTGACTTGCAGATTGGCACCAGGGGTGAGACACAATTATATCATGGGCTTGGATCTCCTTTAACAGTTACCGCTTCCTTCACCCCTCGTCGTGCCATTCGAGAATCTGCTCCTCGCAGGCACCAGAAGGACTAGTACCACTCGTTATGACGGCTGGTGCCGTGGTGGCTTGAGCCACATGGCGGTCAGGGTCCAGTTAGGTTGTCGACAGCCCACGCATAGGTGGCATGGATTGAAACTCTTCCGGGTCGGGGTTCAGTTCGGACCTCGCCGTTGATAGACAGACAGTGGGCATAGCGTAGTCACATGGTGATTGACCTAGCCTCACTCGAACAGCGCTGGTCCGGGGTCCTTAGCGTTGTCCATCGTGAACATGGTGTCCCCGGTGGAGAAACCACGGCTAGCTATGTTTGTAGTAAATCGATTTTTGAGATAGTTTCACGTGCACGCACGCACACACACACACACACACACACACACACACACACACACACGCAATGTGCGAAGAAATGTACCCGGGGCAAGGTGATGTTGACCTGTAGCAAGCGCCCTGAGTTCTTCCCCACAATAACCCTGCCACCATTCTACGCTGTTTGTTCTGATACAGGAAAAGCAGCCCGGCAAGAATCGTCTTGTGCCGCGTCTTCTGGGAATTGCCCGCGACTCCATCATGCGTGTTGACGAGAAAACAAAAAAGGTTGGTTTCTCTCTGTGACTTTGGCATGTGCGTGTGTGTGTGTGTGTGTTCGGGTCCACTGTTACCGATATGTCTGGTGGTGGTTTTGGGGTAACTGTGCGAGGTCAGTGATACGTTCTCTTCGTTGTCATGTGACCTTGACTCTGTCTCTCTCCACTGTGCAGATTCTGAAAGTCTGGCCATTGACCAAGCTAAAGGACTGGGCCGCATCTACGAAGGCCTTCACTCTGGTAAGGTTGTAGCACGAGTGTTGTGATGATAGTAAGTTACGGCGCGTGCACTCGCTCTCCATCCTTGGCAGCACATGATTCTTCAACTGTGTAATGATGGTAGCTCAATCCTTCCTTCACCAACTGCTGCAGATGGGTGGTCACCTGTGTTGAGAGACCGTATCATCTTAGTCAGCAGCAGTGTCTACTCCAGAGCCGGGTCAGCGACCCGGTGGGGGTGGGGGTACTAGGATCCACTTGGACAAAGAACACCGGGTCAGGTTGGGACTCCATCAGGGAGTCCTAAAACTCCGTGATGTACAACAGCCGCACTTGAATGTACCCGGGACTGACCCGATTGCAAGAGTTGTGCCATGTACACGTGTACCCGGTTGGTTGGAAATCCTAGAGCAGACACTGAGCAGACCAGACACATCCAGTGGACTCAGATATATGTGTGGAGAGGCCATCTATCTAGTATCTGGAGCAACGGTTTTAAGTATCCTATTTTGTTGTGTTTTCGTTTGCTGCAGAATTTTGGAGAGCATGCGGATGGCGTGTACTCTGTGCAAACACTGGAAGGCGAAACGATGTCGCAACTGATCGGCGGATACATTGATATCATCATCAAGAAGGTAGGGTTTGTGTGGAGCGCCAGTGTTCTCGAGATACAACACTAGTATTTTGATGTGTTCTAACTGGAAACCATGGTGTGGTTCGGCCATGTAGTGAGGGAAGGCGAAGAATCGTCCTCTTTCCAAGCCCTCCTAATGTCGATCAACACAACAGACATACGACGACCCCGAGGACGGCCACGTCTGAGATGGATCGACGTTGTCAAGAAAGACTTACAATGCATTAATCTGTCGCTTCTGGATGCTGTGCAATCTGCTTCTGATAGAGCTGCTTGGCTCGAAATTGTTAACAGATGCGTTGACCTCATGCAATGAGTGAAATGCGAACTGTCATTATTATTATTATTATTATTAACTGGAAACTTTGACTAAACACATAATTGATCTGTGTGCAATGGAGGGGTGTGTACGTTTGTGCGCTCCCCACTTGGTGTCATTTGATGGGCTTGCGTTCGAGCAGCTCATTGGCATGGATGCTGAAGTAATTCTGTCCATGCTAGAGTAATGCATGCTCTGACTTCTGTTGATGAATTCAAACGCACCATCGGGAGCTGTAGGTGATGATGTTGTTTTGGTGTGTGACGTTTGTTTTGCCAATGCGTGCACAGACCCACGAGAGTGAGAATCCGCTGATGGATGACGAGTCCAGCGAGGTCGTGTCGGCGATGTCCATCTTGCCTGGCCAGTAAGCCTTGTGCTCAGCATACACCTGTGCATGCTCTCAATCCTCTTGTTCACAGCCTAGGTGGTTTCAGAATGAAGATGACTGTGTTAGCCGTAGTTGTTGCAGGTGTATTGGCATTGCAGAATCCACCTGCATAGGGTGAAAGTAGGTTGGATTTCATGAGGGGTTTTCTTGAGGAATTTCATTTTGGGGTTGTGTGTCTGGTGTGCAGTCATTATCAGCCTCGGGTGTGCTCGTAGTGCGGCTGGAGTGTAACAGAATATGCACATGCACAATGATGAAATGTGTACAACTTGCCTACTGTTGGACGAAATGGGTGCCGTACTGTTTTTAGATCTCTAGGACGTGAAAACTCCCGAAAGCACCTGTTTTGTCGAGAAAACATGTACGGATGACATCACAATAACATCACAATGACATCATGATGAAATTGTGTGTGCACACACCACACAGTCTATACTTACTAGAGGCTACATGTCAGGGGCAGATTTCATTGTGCAATCATGGGGAATGTTGGCAGCTTACGGTATACATGTAGTTCTGTTGAACCAGTTGGTGTGTAGACGCTATGATAATAGTGGCTGGTTTGATGTGTCCTGTTGTACTGTGGTTTGCTACAGTGCTACTGTGGTTGAGTATGCTAATGGTGCAGGACCCAACCAAGGTTCGCTGGCCAATCAGTCATCTCCACTTCATCACCTGTCGGTACGTACTTCCCCACGTTTTCCGTGTTTTCTACTAAATCTTCTTGCTTTTATCTGAATTAGGTGCAGTCCACATTTGCATGCTGTCCGCTGTCGAGCTGGTCTGTACAACCTTTTTCCGGTGTGAAACTTTTATGAACATCACCGTTGGCCCACTATTCTGGCTGTAGTGCTTTATGATGTGTCTTTACAGACTTTGCAATCTTGCTAGGGACCCCGTTAGTACGACATTGGTTACAAGACAGCCCTCATTAGTAGACAACAATCCGAAATCCCCTGATGACGCCTGAAACAGATTTCACAGTCGTACATGTACAGGCAAGTCCGGACAGTAGATGATACTGATTATAAGACGAAAATTGAAACCCGCGAAGTTGTCTACTAACGAGGGTAGACCTATAATATTATACAATCATGTGCAGAGAGCGGAGTCCTCCGGTTCGATAGAGTGCTCAATGCAGAAGCAGAGCAGTAACACACGAGTCACAGAGTACCACACGTGTCTGGATTGTCGTTACTAATAGTTTCATGCCAGGTGGCAATCTTCAAACGGCCGTGCATGTTTGTGTTGCCTGTCTGTCTGTTCGACATTCCAGGGCCCCAATGCCGGCCGTGTGTTGTCCCCGGAGGAGAATAGCTTATCCAACGCTATCCACTCCGTCATGACGCAGATCGGCTCCTTCCTGCCCGAAATCCAGCGTGTACTGGAGGATCGTGCCCTCGCTGATGACATGGTGTGTACTATTGAGAACTACTGTAATTTCACAATTATTCTACCAGGCGTTTTGCTCCCATACCGAAAATTTTGAGCACCTAAAACTTCTGAAATTAGATTACCCAGTACTGCGGTGTAGAAGGTATGCGGATGATTTCTCAGTGGAGTCGCTTATGGGTGCTAAGTGTGCAGTGTGAGTCAGTGGAGTCCCCGATGGGTGCTAAGTGTGCAGCGTGAGTTAGTGGATTCGCTTATGGGCGGTATGTATACAGCGTGAGTCGCTAGCGCTAGTGCCAGTGTAACGCTGTGCCGTGACTTCGCCAAAGCATCTGAACTGATGGTGTAACTGTATAACCTCTATACCTCCGCAGTATATTGAGCCGCCAGACACCCAGAAATCCTCCTGTATCTCGTGCTGCGTTGTGTATGCATTCTGCATGTTCACTGGACTTCACGTTGGATGCAACACTGCCAGAGTCTTTATTTATTGCAATAGTTCAGTGACAGTTGTAGCCTGTAGAATCGAATCAGTCCGACGCCTAACATGCCCATACGGCAAGCACATCAGGGCATGGCTATTGATCGTTTTCTCAGGTGCTGTGGAGAGTGTACCGTATCTGTGTGTGTGTGTATGTGTGTATGTGTGTTATGATAGGATATGGCTGCATGGCATGATGGCAAGTTTGCTGTACACCGTCAGCAGTTTCTAACTCTGGTGTCGAACATTGCGTCGGCCACGGCACAGCTTGTTCTCCTGACATCAGGTGAGTGGCCCGATCCAAGATTGTTCAGAGGCCGCACCAATGTCGAATACCTTCCGTCGCCCCTGCCACTGTGTTAGGATAACCCATTGTGTCGTTGGGGTTTTTCTCCCGGAGATTGCTGTGAGTGTCTGGAAGCAGGTGTGCATGCTTATAAACTTGCGTGCCAAGTTGACGTTGAGCAGGGACAATCGTGCCAAATAGTCGTTGATCTCTGGCAGCTTACGCAGGCTCCGTGCACATCGGGTAGCCCGCTAGTCTCCTGCTGTCCACTGCATCTCGCTCTGTCCAGGCACCAAAGCAGTCTTGGGATGATTATGAATGTGATTCCATGCATACATGTATATGGTGATGGCTTCCGCACTAACCTGCAGCCCCGCTTCGCCAAAGATGAGACTTACAAAAATTATCAGCTCAAGTGTTTTCAACTGAGGACATTTCTTTCCTCTGCTACGTTCACATCATTGCCTCACATTTACCGAAGGTCTTGTTTGCATGGCAATGACTTTAAATGCTTCTAAGCAGGTGCTCTCTGATGCAGCATGGCCCTGGTGTTGTCTGTTGTGTCGTCTGTGCGTACAGTGGATCCTGTTGATGTGAACTTCGTGGGAGTTGAGCAGGCTGTCAACACAATGTAAGCTGTTGTGAGTGTAGGTCGAATGTCTAACCATGTTTGGTGGCACGGGACTTTGTCCCGGAACTTACATTGCCATCAAACTACAGTCAGACCTCGCTTAACCGCAAACATCCGTTTTCCACAAAAATGTCCGGATAGGCGAGGGAACCGGATAACCGAACACCGGTTATGTAGGATGCACCACGTATGCTGTAGATCTGTACCCAGCTATGTTCTTCCGGATGGCGAGGGATCCGGATAAAAGAGGGCCGGATAAGCGAGGTCTGACTGTACCTATGTCCACATAAACAGGGCCGGTCGATGCAGCTCTGGTGTTGGATATTTCTAAATAGAAAAGAAAGTGTCTGAACTCGCAAAGGGTAGTGTCATACATTGCTGAACAAGCCGAAAGCAATTGATGATGTCATTGATGATGTCGGTGATGATGAATTTGACCTAAGTTGTTCATAGTTACCTAGGGCACTCTTTTCTAAGCGTTTACCGTTCCGATGGTCAAACTCACACAGTGCACGTGTGTTTGAAGCTGATGTACATGTACATGTATGTATAGGTCAACAACTCATAATTCTTCATGCTGGCACTTGTGAGCTTGTGCTGCTTGCGGTGGAAAGAAAGAGTGTGCTTTGTTCTTTCTTTGCTACTATGCACATCTTCTCGTAGATCTTCTAGCTTGGAACGCCTGCTAGAAACGGCCAAGATCATGGCGCATCACCTGCCGGATGACCTCAACCTGAGGGAGAAGATGCTGGATGCTTGCCGCAATCTGATGCTCTCCACCACCAACATGCTGAACACAGCCCTGCCTGAGAACGATATGGTACGGCAGGGCAGGACTGCTTCACTTTTTCTATAAATTGTGTTGTAGAATGCTGTGCGCATGCAGGACCTGTACAGCCTCTTTTCCTGTCTCGATGTATAGTGCATGCTGAAGCGGGTTGAGCGTTGGAGATGTCCCTGGACTGGCCCAGGACCGGAGGAATCCTATTGATCAGAACTCTTCTTACTTATCCGTACCTGACCTGTGTCATGTTGTGCACTGTATTGCAATGCAGTTCTACTGCCAGTGTTTTTTTTTTCGGCGACTCACACTCTCTGCTCTTGCCTCTGGGCTGATTTTGCTTTGCACTGCAGGAGCGCAGCCAGCTGCTTCAGAGTGTCAACGAGCTTGGTGTAGCGGCGGGCAATCTCCTCGGCTTGTTCAGTGAGCTGTGTCCAGAGCAAGCTTATCAGGTAGGCCTGCTGTCTGCTTGCAAGGAGACCATTTATGCTCTTGTGTAACCAGGTTTTGTCCTAGACCTCAGCTACATGTATACACGCACGGAATCGCAGAGCCATTCATTGAAGGAGCAGTATTTTACGACAGTCATGGGACAACTTCATCGTGTTCATGTGTACGACTTGCATGCATGCGTGTGTGTGTGTGTGTGTGTGTGTGTGCGCGCGTGCGTGTGTGTGCGCGTGCGTGTGTGTGTCTGTGTGTGCGCGCACGTGGTGCATGCGACGTGCAGGATGAACTGCTGGCTCTTGCTTACCAAGTGGCGCAGGCATCGCGTGTTCTCGGTGACGAGGTCAAAGTGGTTGCGGCCGAGTGTGAGGACACCGTGCTGAAGGAGGAAGTAGGCAAAACTGCCATTGCATCCACCACGTCTGGAACGGAGCTGGTGTCGTGCACACGGGTGAGGCATTGTGTTTTTAAAATACCAGATTGACTTGTCTGTTCTTGATCACGTAGTAGTGCCTGGCCGGGTATTGGCACTAGACTGCTCTTCCGCAGCCAATCCTGGATTCTTTCTTGTTCCACGTTTGTCAACAGTGCCCTGCGTGATTATTGATCAGGTAGTATTAATCGTTATTTGCATGCATGACGTATTGCTTTGCTGGCACGTTCACTCACTCCAACGTTGGATTGATCCATTTGCATGTTGTGAAGTGTGTTTATGGTGTGTTTTGTTTTGGGAAATGTTCAACTAGTCTCCATGTGTAACTTAGCGCTGTGTGGAGGTAAAGAGAGAGAGAGAGAGAGAGAGAGAGAGAGAGAGAGAGAGAAAGAGAGAGAGAGAGAGAGAGAGAGAGAGAGAGAGAGAGAGAGAGAGAGAGAGAGAGAGAGAGAGAGAGAGAGAGAGAGAGAGAGAGAGAGAGAGCAATACAGGTCAACCTTTCGAATAAGGACACCCGATTGGGCATGATATTTTTTTGCAGTGAGTTTTCTTTATTCTTGAGGTTAAAAGTATGCAGTCTAATGTTCTCCAGGTCTGAAGATTGTGTCGATATTTGCGAGTTGTTGTTAAACCCGAGGTCGTTATTCACCAGGTTGACTGTACATCCGCTTGACAATGCTGTTACGCATCTCATTTTGCGTATGTGTGTAACCCCTGGCTGGCTGCGCAGGTGTTGGCGATACATCTACCCGAGGAGAGCGCCAAGTCGCAACTCCTGGAGGCCGCCACTCGCGTGAAGAAGGCGGCCGCGACGGCCGTCGGCACGTCGGAGAACGCCAGCTACGACTCTCACGTGCTGGATCGCATCGGCCACAAGTCGGGCGCCGTCGACCACGCGGTGGAGGCCTACGTGGCCAAGCTGAACGAGGGGCCGCGCTCGGCGTGGCGCAGCACCAACGCTGAGCTGTGCGAGGCCATTCTCACCGCTCTGGACCAGCTGAAGGGCAGCGTGAGCACACCAGCGGTTATCGAGGATGTGAGTAACATCGCCGTGTGCGTGTACAAGTGCACTGCATGTTCATATACTGTTGTGTCTTGTATAAAAGCAGCCTGTCTCCTATTGAAGCCTGTTTTGAATACAAGCCTGATGTTCAAGATACACTTGTGGCACATAAGCCCGACTTAAGTGTTGCTAGACATAGAAATACCTGATTTTTTGAATAGAAGCCTATCCCTCACATCTCATTATTGAAGCCTGTTTTGAATGCTAGCCTGATGTTCAAGATACACTTGTGGCACATAGCCTGGTTTTAGTGGTGCTAGACATAGAAATACCTGATTTTTGAATAGAAGTCCATCCCTCACATCGGCTTCTTCTGGAGTACGACTGGCTTTTAGACGCCACTTTACGTTATGTAAGTACATGTTGTACCAGAGAAGCTCTGCTGTTATTGGCTGGACTTTTAGGCTGCTGCTTGCTGGTTTTTTTGCAAGCTCTTTAAAATGTCTATCAAGATCTGTCCTTCGCTGGATGACGGCGAGTCTATCTGCTTCTATCGAAACAGTTTCGTCCGCAGATTGCGTGTTACTATCATCTAAATATGTAATGTGCCATGCGGTTGGGTCAATTCTGTCAGCATTAGTGGGCGCTCAAGATGCACTAATCACTGTGCGTGGATCTTTCCAGACACACGTGTTTGACCGATGAGCTACTTGCTTTTTTCCGCTGGATGCTCACGCATGTATGCTCCGTCTGTCCATCTCTTGTGAACACGCAGATGGGCACGGCTGGCCGAGCCGCGTCCCGCTTGGTCAGCAGCCTTCGCGACCAGGCCAGGGGTCTGAATGATCCCGACGACAGTCAGCGGTTAATGGACAGCGCACGGCTGCTGACCGAGGCCACTACTCGCCTGGTGGAGGCCGCCAAGCTGAACAACAAGAATCCCGGGTCTCCGGCCAGTGAGGACACGCTGCACGAGGGCATTGAGGATCTGAAGGAAGCCGTCTGGGCTGCTGTCGGTGATGATTACCGACGGCTGGTAAGTTTTTGCATGCGTTGTATGATGTATTTCGATGGTTTCACACACTGTCATGTGTCATCTCCGGACAAAAATGTGGTTTAGTCTTTGTGCATCTCTACACATGTACAGTGCATCTCCAGTATAAAGCACCGCGGATAGAAGAAACTCCTTTCTCTTTGCATCGGATATAGAGTACTTTTCTGGGGACTGTCACTCCTTTCCAGACACACAGCACCTCGGCTGTATGGAGTACTGATTTGTATGCCCATCTGATGTACATGTACACTATGCTGAAGTATCACTGTACATCCACGCTGCGCATATCAAAGTACAGTGTATGGAATGGTCTCTGTGCTCCGGTACTGGATTGAATCATGGTGTGTTGTGTCTCTGGTCACTCTTCTGCGATAGCTTCTAGCCCGATTGGAGGCGGCAGCCAGGCGGGCCTGCGCCACCTCCACACAGCTGACGGTGACATCATCCGCCGTGGTGGAAGACATTGACAACGAGCACCGAAAGGAGGACCTCCAGCGGGTGTGCGGCAGCGTGGACGACGAGGTTGGAGCTCTCGGCACGGCCTTGAAGAACCTGCAGTACAACCCAGAGCGGGCGCAGGCTCAGCTGCGCTTGCTGACGACGGCGCCGGGTTTGCTGCAGCCGGGTACCGAGGTGGGTTTGTTGTTACAAGTAGCTCTGCTGCATTGCGGTGTGTGCGTGCGTGCATCAGTGTGTACCTTTGTACCGTTTGGATCTCTCTCCCCTCTCCCATGTGACCAGTTTAACAGTGAGTAAGTATAAGTACCTTGGTACTACATAACATTCTATATGGCCACGTGGTGGGGTATGCGTGCTTGGTTGGCCATGCAACGGGCGATGTATGTCCATGTAACCTTCTTGATCTATTACAAAGTAGTTGCTTGTGGCAGACTTACACTAGTTTTTGCTGCATTAGTTGCATTTGTTGCGCATATTTTGCCTTTTGTTCACAGCTGCTTGTCCTGGCAAAGACAACGCACGCCATCGTGCAACGCGACGACTTGGCATCTGATCTGCTAGCGGTACTGAAGGGTGTGGTGGTGGCGCTCGCCGAGCTGAAGGCGGCCATCAACGCCTTCTCCGAGGCCGGTGGCTTGCTCAACTTGGACGCAGCTGTTGTAAGTGATGTACAGTACTGTTGGTCGCCGAAGAACTGGGGGGGGGGTAGCCTCCTGGCCTAGGCTGTTCTTATTTTCATGTGTTACAATCTATAAACAGGTGAGTCGCCGTATATACATTGGTATGCCATGCTTGGTGACATTCTAGCCTGGTCGTTCTTCGGCGCCCGGCAGTACTGTAGGTGTTCGAACTAAAAGCAACACAAACACACATCCTGTTACTTATGGTGTTGTTTCAACTTGTTTTGTTCTGAGTCTCTTGAGGGTTGTATTCGGTCTGCCGCGTTTCTATGGAATTCAAATTGCCCTACAGTAAAGCTTCAGGCAGGTTGAATGTTTGCCCAGCACTTCAGCTGTTTAATGCTGTAGCACAGTTCTTGTTCTGCCGTGCAAATGTCTTTTTTTCTGATTACAATGCTGTGCTGATCGCTGGTCCTTTGCTTGCTGGTTGTGCTCATCACCAGGAAACTGTCAATGACCTCGCTGAGCTGGTCAATGAAGACGTGGAGATGATCGCTCGTGACGACTGGCAGCGAGCAAGCAATAAAACCCTGCAGGGGGCCACGGTGCAACTGACCGAGGATGCACGCTCCGTGGGCGCCACTATGGCAGGTCTTGTTGGCGCTGCGGCCAAGGTGAGGCTTTTTCTGTCGGGCACAATGGTCTTGTACATCATTTAGCAAATTGTTTAGTCTTGTCCAGGGTGTACGTGCACATCACCTGATCTGCACATAGTGTTGATACATGTATTGTGGCAATGCAGGGGAGTCTTCAATGTACACTGTGTTAGCTAAGTGTGTTCTGTTATCAGTCTCACAGCTTTTATAACTATGTCGTTTGTGTCTCGGTTTGTGTGTGTGTGTCTGTGTGTGTATGTGTGTGTCTGTGTCTGTGTGCGCATGTGCTGTGTTGATTTCCACCTTTGCCTGTGCCTGCAGAGAGACGACGTATTGACGGGCCAGGCGGCCCAGTCTGTAGCCGAAGCGCTGACAGAGTTGGTCGAGAGCAGCCGAGACGTGGCGGGAGGCTGCCCGTCGGACCGCCCTGGCCAGAAGCTTCTGCTGACGTCGGTGGTGAGTGCGCTCTCGACGTCCGTCGGACTCCTGCAGGCGGCACGGGACTCGGTGACTGGAGCGGGCGGTCAGGACGGCAACAGAAATCTGGTGGCTGTGAGTTTGATCCAGCAGTAGACTATTAGGATTCTTGGGGGTGGTGGTGGCGTTCCTACGGATGCGGAAAACTCAGCCTGCAGCCGAGTTTCACACAAACCGTGATTTATTATTATCACTTCTACTATTTTTTTAATACTTCTATTATTGCACAGTGGAGATGCTGTTGGCTTGCAAAAGTGCTCAACCCAAGAAGGGGAGCCCGTGACACAAGTTCAAAGTGGTGGCAAAAACGTTTTGCTGTAACTCTGAGTTTCATGGCAATAGAACCCATACTGTACAAGCAGTAGATATGATAAATTACATAGGGAAAAGCAGCCACAAACGGCGTTTGTCCCTTTCCCTGCAGCCCATGACCACAGCTTGGCACTCGCTAGTTTTCACCATCCGCTTCAGAAATTTGATTGACTGTGTGTGTGCGCGTGTGTGTGCGCGTGTGTGTGTGCGCGCGTGCGTGTGCATGTGTGTTTGTATGTGTACACACACAAACACACGCATTTTTTCTGTGCAGGCGGCGAAAGCAGTGCAGGAAGCGCTGGCAAATATTCTTGGCCTGTTGCCTCACGTCCGTCGTATGGATGCCGATATTGAGCGCATCAGCAACGCGGCAGTGGTTAGCGATGTAAGTACAAAGGACGAAACAGTTTTTCCTTTTCACTTATCCCGTTATCGGCCCTCTTAAGAGTTGTGTATATCACTGTTGAGGCATCCGATGGTAAATAAAATAAATACTACTAATACTAACAGTTCTGTCCCCAGATGCACCTGCTGCATATCTGCTTGGAATGTAGCGTGGGCATTACGGTGGTCGTTGTTGAATTTACACTGTGCTAGTATTGTGCTCCGCTATATACACCGAGACGCCGGAAAATGGAGTCGTGGCAATCCCTTTTCTGCGCCCTGTCTTTGCGTGCGTACATGTACGTGCGTGTGTGTGTGTGTGTGTGTGTGTGTGTGTGTGTGCGTGTGTGTGTGTGCGTACATGTACTTGTGTGTGTGTGTGTGCTCGTACGTTATATTCTACACAGGTGGTGCGCTCGTTCCAGGAAGCGCAGAGCAACTTCAGCGACCGTGCTGCCGGCCTCAACGAGGCTGTTGCCAACCTGCTGGAGGCCGCTCGAACAGGTGACATGAGCTTGGCCGAGGCCGCGCAGCGTCTGGCGGATGACTTCCTGAGCATGCTGAATGCAGCCAAGGCAGTCGACGATGCTGGCAATGTGAGTCCACAGCTGGCCCCATTTTGTTTTACAGTGTGTACATGAACTGCAGTGCATGTACGCGCTAAACGCAGTAAGGGCGCCGGCCCCCGGTCATCCCATTGGATTTCAATGTACACGAGAGTAGCACGCCATGCACGTGAGGAATGTTTAAGCTGTAGCTCTTACCGTCTGGTCTGCTTGTGGCAACTGAGAGATTTTTCAAGGAGTTTTGTTCACAACGTTGAATTTAACGCTCTGCCATGTTCTGTTGGTTGCTATACGGTTTGTTGGCGTGGTTTGTACAATGCTTTTTGTGCTGCAGAGCGAGAACTCCAGACTGATGGCTCACGCGCAGGGCGTATCGTCAGCCGCCGCCCGCTTGCTCGAGGCCAGCAAGAGGTTCATGGTTGGAGACTTGGATTCGAAGAGTCTCATGTCGTCGCTGACGGATGCTGCCAGGTGAGTTGAGCGTCACGCACATCATGTGTGGCAGCTGCTTGTAGTACTGTCGGTCGCCGAAGAACTGGGGGGGGGGGGGGGGGGGGGGGGGGAGTGTCGTAGCCTAGATCATTCAGATTTTCATGTACCATATTCTATGCACAGGCGAGTCACCGTGTATACATTGCATCGGTACGCTGTGCTCGGTAAAATTCTAGTCTGTTCGTTCTTTGGCGCTCCATTCTTCGGCGTCCGGCACTACTGTGGTATTGTAGTGTAGTGTAGTGATGTCAGTCTTCAGCTCTTGTGCTTTCTCCCTGCGCCTTCCGCGATCATCTCACATAAAGAAAGAAACATTCAGTCTTGCCCCACCCCCGAAATGGAAAAAATGTCCTTCTGGAGAGTTTTAATCACTGGGTTCAGCTATAGTATCGTAGTGTAGTTTTTTCAGTCTTAAAAGGCTAAGCTCTTGTTGTGCCTTCTCTGCACCTTCTGTGATTGCTGTGCAGGGACGTCACGGACACTATGAACTCACTTCTCGGCTTGGCGCTGGCCAGTCGGCCGGGGCAGAAGGAGTGCGAAGCCGCCGAGAGGGCCGTCCAGGTAGCCGCCGTAGAGTAGAGTAGAGTACAGTGTCTGCGTGAACTTGTCGTACTTGCATGGTGCATTGTTGCGAGTCATAGTGTTACACGGGCCATGCTACAAAAGGGGTTTTCCCCAACACAATTGGCCGCAATTCACCCACCCATAAACGAAAGTGTGTAGTTTTTGTGAAAAGATCGATAATTATGGATAGCCCCTAACGTAATGTGTGTGCGTTCGTGTGTGCACACGTTCTTGTATGTGTGTGTGTGTGTGTGTGTGTGTGTGCAGGATGCCAGCGGTTACCTAGCGTTGACTGGTAAGCCTCTGTCGTCCGACGACTACTTCACGTGCGAGCGTATTGTCAAGGACAAGGCCATGGTGAGTTTCACAGAAGGCAGGCTGCCATGCAGTTCCATTGCCACACGGTACCCATTGTCCACTGTCATACAATTTCATTGACACACCGTGCGCATCGTCCACATGCACACAGTAGTACCCATTGCTCTGCTATCTGGATTGTCACACCATGTTCATGGTATAAGTCCAAATCACAAGGAAACATTCTTTCTGTTGTCCGTTTTGTAGGCAGGCTCACAGCCAGTTTGCTAAACCTGACAGGAGTGTACTATACTGTGTATTGAGTGTTCCTTGTCTTTAGTTGTTTCTGTTTTGTACACAATCAGATGTGGCCTAACTTTTAGTGGTCCGTATTGATGAGGGAACCTTTGTATACAAGGAGATGTGGCGTAGCCTTGCACGGCTGTTTTGTTTTGCACAAGAACGGACTGTATTGATAAGGGAACCTGCTGGCCAAAACATGTACTCGTGGCGCATCTTGTCAATGTAGTCCGATCGTTGTCTGGCTGTTTGGCAAGAGGTTATCAGTAAACAGTGACTCGAAGCGCACGTTTGCAATGTCTAACATAGCTCGTTCGCTGTCATCCTTTCAGCGATGGGCAAGTAGAATAGAATGTTGAAGAAGGGTGTGTGTATGCGTTTGTACGTGTGTATTTATGTGTACTTGTACCTATGTGTTTGTGTACATAGCAGACTCAGCGAAGTACAGAGACTCAGCGGAGTTACAACCAACCTGAACGTCCTCCGCTAAGTCTGCTATGTGCTAAGCTCTGTCTCTGACATTGAGCACTCTTTGCAGCTCGGGGATCAACGGATTTATGTGTTTGTGTATGTATGTGCACTTGTGCATGCGTGTCCGTGTTGTGGTTGTTGCAGGCGCTCAACACAGCACTGACTACGATGACAAGCAGTCTGAGGAATGAGGAGCTAGAGCGTGTGCAAAGTGCTGCACCTCAGTTTGGCAAGGATGTCAGTGCGGCAGTGAGAGCAGCTGCTCAGGTATGGCTTTTCCTCGTGTTCCTTGAACATTTAATGTGTGTGTGTGTGTGTTTGTGTGTGTGTGTGTGTTTGTGTGTCTGTGTGCGTTTTTGTGTGTCTGTGTGCATTTGTGTGTGTGTGTGTGTGTGTTTGTGTGTGTGTCTGTGTGTATCTGTGCATAACGCTTACCTCACTGGAATACGTAGCAGTTCTCTTTAGGGAGCATCTCATAAGTTCGCATTTTGTTTCTAAACGTAACGCATTTCGAAACGGGGGTAGGGGGGTAGCGGCCATTTCGAATAGAAAAATGACTGTTCGCACATTTTCTGGAACTGTACAATCTACTGTACTACCGTGCTAGATCCCTGCAGCAAATGAGTGTGTTTAGGTGGAGATCTACCTGTGTTTGCAGATCAGCTAACCCTTGTACTGCATGCATGCAGGCTACTCAGAGGTGTCAAATGTCACACCAGCCTGATCAAACCTTGTACCTGAAATTACAGCAGTACAGTTGTTGTGGAGGAACTATGCTTATTTGCGTGTACATGTCATTGATTGTACTTTGTACTCAGTAAATGCGGTACTACTGTATGCCATTCACGACCGCTCTAGCAAAACATTCATATACATGTACATGTACAATCATGTACATAAGCATAGCATAGCATGGGGCATGGATGTGTACAGTAGATAAACACAGAAAATGTGCGATAAAACTTTCGAATAGAGGGGGGAGGTAGGGGGGGGGGGGGGGGTAAAGTCTATTCGAAATGCGTTACGTTTGCAAAATAAATGCGAACTTATGAGATGCTCCCTTATCGGATAATTGATTGTTTGAAAAACCTTGCTTTCCCTGCTGGTGTGATTGCTTTATTTCTTCTTCTACTCACCTTTCCATCTCTCTCTTTCTCCCATCACTAGTGTGCTTTGCTGTCCTGCGGTGAGAGCCCGTTGTCCGAGCCACTGTACGCCCTGCGTGTAGCCTGCGACCGTCTGCAAGATCCCAGGTGCGAGGGTCGTCAGTTACTTGCCCAGGCCACCGAGATCAACAAACAGAGCGCGGCTGTCCGCAAGATTGCACTGGGGATGGCTGAAACGAGCAGTGTTGCGGAGGTGAAGCGCTTCTACATGGAGTCTGCCAAGGAGACCACCGGCCTGACGGCTGCCGTCGTTCAGAGCGTGACGGTACGTTTCAGAAGTGTCCGCCGTCATTCCTCTGTGTGCGTCTGTGTGTGTGTGTGTGTGTGTGTGTGTTTGTGTGTGTTTGTGTGTTTGTGTGTGTGTGTGTGTGTGTGTGTGTTTGTTTGTGTGTTTGTGTGTGTGTGTGTGTGTGTGTGTGTGTGTGTGTGTGTGTGTGTGTGTGTGTGTGTGTGCGCGCGCGCATGAATGCCCAAACACATGGCCTGGCTTGCTTCACCAATATCTGCTCCCAGACCATTCTTTGCTCCTCCCTTGTTGCTGCAGAAACTAGCGTCAGCGTCTACCAATGCTAATCGGGAAGTGTGCGCGGAGAAGTCCACCGCTCTGGTTATGGCCGTCGAACAGCTGGTCTCGTTCTCCATGGCGCCGCCGGGTACCCTGCCACCTACTGACGGTGTAAGTCGGTGCAGAGTGTGCATCAACGCCATTGCACAATGTGCCTGCTATGCTGTGTCTGCTATGCTGTGTCTGCTATGCTGTGCCTGCTATGCTGCATGCTGGTCGATTGTGTTGTGTTGGGCCTGCGAGCCACGCAGGACTCCATTGCGGGACAAGGCAAAGGACTGGTATATTTACGCCGAGCATGCGCATATGATACAGATGTGCGAGAGAGAGACAGTACGGAGAGAGGCAATACGGAGAGAGACAATACGGAGAGAGACAATGCTGTGCCAAACACTATACACTAAAGTTTGGGTGTCCAGCGATGTGCACTTAGTCGATGTCCTGACATGACATGATTCCACTTGGTCCAGGGATGTACGTTCGACTCTCAGCACTATAGTGCATGAAAATCTGTCCGTTCAGTACAGTCAGTACAGGATTCCGCTTGGTACAGGGTCCGGCGAACACAGTTTTTACCGTACATCTTGTCTATGGTTTATTATAAAGCAAGACCTGAAGAATACCAACATCACTGTCCCTGAAGCCTTCGTCTTCGCCGAAAACAGACGTGAATGGAACCTTTTCACTCACAGATGCGTAGAGCTCAATTCGGAGTAATATCCGAGCTGTTGTTGTTCTTCTCATTACTATTTCTATGGTTTTGTTCCCCGATGTGTGCAGACCCCGATGGAAGTGCCGGTTCTGGATCCGGCGCGTTCACTGGTCGCGTCATCCTCGGCGTACCTGCTGGCCGCGCGCGATATCTGCAAGGGCACGACGGC